GAGAGAGAGAGAGATAAAATTGAAGGGGAAAGGATTAATGTAGACAATTATAAACTCCTATGTATTATTCCCTGATGCAAATGGTTGCACTGTGCAATAGCTGAATAATCATACCTAATTATGTAACTAGGAACAGTACACAAATGATTAAACCTATGTGTAGCTTGTGAGGGAAACAAGCATGGGCACAATGCGAGAAAGGGCCTGGGAACAAAAATAAGCAATTTGAGATACTATGGAAACCATTTTATTCTCTTTATTAGTTTTCTTTGTGGAAGGTAGAGTTGAGACTGCAATCGAAGTCCAGTCAAATTGTATAGCCAATATCTACTCCGGGAAGGCCTCGATGACGGATTGGATGGTTGGGATGGAGATGATGTTGAAGCGACGGAAACCTCCATCCTTCAGGAGTTTACCCCATTCCTCTGCTGTCCGCTCTTTCCCGCCCGAAGAGTGTGCGATCATTACCAGGTCGAACGCCAAAGTGGCGTCTCCAAACACCCCTTCTTTCCCACCCACCACTGCATCCACAATTATCACCTTCCCTGTCTTCTCAGGAATCGCCCTCTTGCATTGCTTCAGGATCTTCACACAATCTTCGTCTCCCCAATCGTGCATTATCCACTGTCCCTCAACCAAAAAAAAGAAAAGCAAGTGAGAGACCTTTTAGCAACGCTACATCTCAAGTTTGATTCCTAGTATTAAACTACCTTGCTTCAAAAAAGAAAGAAAAAAAAAAAAAGAGATAGAGCAGAGAACTTTGTGAGACCATATAAAAGATGTATGGAACTAAGGATTGAATTTCGTCTTGCGCCGAGAAGGTATCGGGCGTAGGTTAGGAACCTTGGAGCACAGTCCCGAGGTACACACATAGTTTTGGGATTCATGGGTTTTTTAGCTATACCCATATCTACATCTGTACAGCATAGTGAAAAGCACATATCTGCCTTTGTTCTAACTTCTAAACTTTTATTATTTGTGCGTTTATGCCTCGCAGCCAAAAGCAATCAAAGCCTTCCATCTTTCAAAATTAAATAACATTCTATGTCACTTCGTATATGCTTAGATACGGAGTCTTTGTAAAAGTTGCTTTTGAAAATCACAAGTGTTTTTCTAAAGAATGTTAGCATTTATTGAAACATACCTCTTTTAAAATGTTTCTTAAAAAATAGGACTACTTTTTAAAAGCATGAATTTTAAATGGAGTGTTGCTAAATATGGTCCTAAGTACGCAGGTCAAAGTTTTAGGGTCATCGATTTCTACATCATTAATATTTGATAAAGGAAAATTGTTTCATGGGACGGGGACCGTATTTCTATATTTGTAGTCCTTGAGGTAGATGGATACAAATATGTGGTCCATCTAAAAACATATGAAACTAATGGTCCAAATGTTTTATTAATAGAATTATTATTTCTAATTTCAAAATTTTGTTTATGTTTTCATATTCATATTCATGATCTTCATGTTAAAGATTACATGTCTTTAAAAATTAAGTCCAAAAACCCAACGCAAAAATAGATTTTTAAGAGGTGACTCATTTTTACATGGGCTCATAGAAATCGTGTCTTTTAAGGTGCTCATTTCTAAATGGACTCATAGAAACCACGTCCTCTGATAAAATCCTTGAGAACAGTCCATTTGTTGGACTTCAAATACCCACTCAAACTGATACACTAGACTACCCTGCAAATGGATGGCAAGATCTATATTTTAAAGTGCTCATGCTTTCTTTTGAAATCGATCAAAAGGTAAATCAGGTCAATTCGGCATACTCCTTATTGTCAACCATGTTTTTTCGGTGGCAAAACAAAATCTGTAGAAGATTTAGAAGGAGTGAGCGGGAGAAGCCCTTTCAAGAATTAAATGAAAGGAAATGATTAAAAGATCAATTTAATGTATTTTTAGGTACTGAGAACAGCAATTTAGAAGAGTTCTATCGATTTATAGAAGGGAAAGTGCTTGATGAGTCTGCATGTGCCCTCCTGGCCATCAAGCGCTCCTCTTTAAGATTCATGGCGAACAAAGAGGATCTTACCAAAACAAAAATGATAATGTATAAAAAATTTCAAAAGCATATTACTTTTAAAATTTTAAAATTTATTTTTCATATTCATAACCCTCATGGTCGAGATTATCGATCCCTAAAAACTTGGACACAAAAACCATCTTTAAGATTAATTTTGAAGAGGCGATGTGCGCAAGTAAATGAATCAGTAGAGTCACCAAAATTATATCCTTTATAGAATATTTTGGGACTGGTGGTAGTTTAGAAAAATTTCCTGCGAATGGCTCTATTTGGGCTGGTATCTCCCCATTGAAGCCCAAAGTTGAAGCAAAATAAAATTGTGACCTTTAATGGGAGATTTCTCAAGTTCATGCAGCTTAGGAGTGGCAATGGGCCAGGCCTGGGCTCATCCCAGCCTGGCGCAAGTTGGGCCCGGGTCCCTATGGGGCCTGTCCTAGCCCATTGGGCCCCTGTTAAGTCCAAAAGCGCCATGGCTTGGTTCAAGCTTTTGGCATTATCCTGGCCAGGCTTAACTAAAAACAACGACAAAAAAATGCAAAAAATATAAGGCAAGGCTCACATCTCAGGCCCAACCTGGCCTACCCTTGCTCTCAAGCCGTCGTGCCCAGTCCTGGCCTGACCCTCGGGCCATATTTTGTAACCAAGCCCTAATTTTTTAGGGCTGGGCGGGGCTACCGGGCCCAATATAGCAGTTGTGAAGCCCTTGCAGTCATATAATAATGACATATAAGAACCCTCGTACTCTATTGTTATTTGCCATCAAAATACGGACGCCATTTCAAGAGTGTGGAGTTCATTCTGGGTCGAGTTTGGATGAGCTTTTGGATTTGTTTGGACCACTAGACCTTTTCTTATTAGGAAAAAGTTTATCTAAAGTTGCAACCTTAAAATTTCTTATTATAGAACAATATTTCGTGTTATGTCATATCCCACCTAATCTCATATCTTGATATTTCATAGTGCAAATATGTTGCTATGTCATATCCTACCTAACCCATATCTCAATAATGGGATTTTTTATTTTGTTTGATTGAGGTCGAAAATCTAACTAACAAGGACATATATTTGATGCACGGGAGCAGCCATCTGAAACCCGGATCTGTGGGCTAGATCGTCCACCCTACAAATCCATGTTAAGCTGATCGGACAAATCAACGACCCAAAAAATTATTAAAAAGTAAAAGAATTAAAAATTAAAATAGAGATTCATGGGGGACCGTAGGAGGGACCTATGACAATGTTAGATATGCTTAAAAAAGAGAGAGAGAATATGAAAAGGGGTTTTAGGATGGACAGGGCTAGTATGAGTACCCTTCGAAGACTACTTCGGTCCCAGTTGATTCTTGATATGGGTCGGACCTAGCCACAACCTAGAATGTCTTTTTGCTTTCAAAAAGGAAAAAGTTCATATAGACTTGAGGCTCTAAACAATCAAATTAGAGCCTACCTGAAAATTTCAGTGTTGTTTTGATGCTCAAATATTCTCAAATTGATCATCTCAACATCAAGATACATAGACATGAGAAAAAAATGAATTTCAAGTTTTGGAATAGTGCATCTTGTAACGCATCTTTGAATTACCAATTTTCAAGATTCTCAAGTTTTCATAGATCTGCTTGATCTACACTATTTTTTAAGCTTTAAATTTTATAATTAAAGATGAAAACAAATTTTAAGGCTATCAAAAAAATTTTCAGTATTAAAACCACATTTCTTGATACTATTTGAAGGTGTGCTTTACTTCAATTGTTTAAAGCCTCGGCTCTATACAAACCGCACCCTTCAAAAAACGCTACTTTCAAATATCAAAATTGTCATATTCATGATCCCCACCCTTCAAAAAACGCTACTTTCAAATATCAAAATTTTCATATTCATGATCCCCAATGTCTAGATTGTTGCTCACTTAACATTTGAATTCAAATTTGGAGAGGTGGGGGGCGCACGTATGAATAGCATGTATATAGGATATGAAACACACCCCAGATCACGGTGAACTCTGATGTCTTTTTGGTATTGTGATATGGGTGTGGTTTATAGAAGGCATCAATTTTAAAAGATCAGAGTATGGCGCGCCTCTAAACCTTATTGAAAAATGTATTTTTTTCTCTTGAAAAAATATATTTTTACCTTTAATTATGAAATTTAAAGCGAAAAAACTGGGGCAAATCTATCCAATATCTATATAGTTAAAAATCTTGTAAATGGACTGAATGTGTTTGAAGGTACACTATTTTTATGACTTGAAATTTTTTTTTAATATCTATATATCTCGAGGTCGAAATGATCAATTGAGGATTATCTAATATTATCCTGTAAAGTTATACAATAAAAATTTTCAAAACAAAAAATTTGGAAATTAAATTAGATTTGAATTGGCTAACTTTCTAACTCGGAACGTGATTCTACTAGAGGAATCACCTAGGGTCCTCATTAAACCCGGCAGTAGATACTCTTTAGTATCAAACATGAATTGTACGAGAAAACATAAAACCTAGCAGTAGATACTCTTTAGTATCAAACATGAATAGTACGAGAAAAAAAGGAAATTTCAGCCTCATAACTGGTCAATGTAGTACTTTTTAGCGATTCTTAATTTTGACTCTTTAGAAAATTAGATGAAGGATAAAGTTTATACAAGTGAGAGGCTCTAAACAATCAAATCAGGGAGCACCTAAAAAATTCATTAGAAGAGGTTGTTTCAATGCCCAAAATTCCTCAAATTCATCATCTCAACATCAAGATATACGGACATGGCAAAAAAATGGATTTCAAGTCTTAGAAATAGTGAATCATGTAATGTATTTTTTGGAGAGTCAATTTTCAAGATTTTCAATTGTTCATAGAACTGCTCGATCTACACTATTTTTAAAACTTTAAATTTTATAATTAGATTTGAAAATAAATTTTAAGCTATCACAAAGATTTTCAGTATTGAAATGACATCTTTCGGTACTATTTGGTGCGCCCTACTTTCATGGTTTAGGTAGAAACCACACCCTAAATGAATACTATTTTTGAAGCTCTAAATTCATAGATCTAATGATTTATTGTAATTTGGGAACGGCGAACTCACAAAACTGAGGCCGATCCATAAGTCTGCCCGCCTCAGGGGTTTACTTTTCATATTTATTTATACCACAAGATTTCCTATTCCAAGAGGAGTATACTATCTATTTACTCCCTTGGGAAAAAACTTATTCCAAGGATATATTTTTTATCTTAAATTTTGGGGATGTGATTTCTAGAATCTGGCAAATGAGCTTAAGGATTTTGTTTTTTTTTCGACTGTCGCTCTTTATGTGGCTAAAAAGAATATCATCCCAAGATTGCATTCGAACCATCGAATTTTTGGAGGTAATGATCTAGATATTTATGAACTCAAAATCTAAATTTTTTCTTTGAAAATAATCATCCAGTTATAATTAGATGGATCTCAAAACTTCATAAAAAAAATATTCTCCCAAAATAGTGTTTCCCTGTGGGAGTGAACGTATAGTACACACCCAAGGGAGCTTAGTATGCATGCTTTTTCCTTTATTTGTTTTCTATTTTTTTCCCTATTTATAGCACTTAAAGCCGACTATAAAAATAAAAGGAAAGTATATAATGAGGGACACAGTTTCTATGCATATTGTAGAAATGCTGGTTTGGCAATAAATATATTTTTAAATATAAGTTGATCTCAATTTTTAGAGAAAATAAAATTTTTAACGAGGAGATCATAAATATGATAAAAAAAAAGAAAAGAAAAATGACAATAATAAAAATTAAAAATAATAATTATATTAAAAAGACATTTGGACCATTAGTTGCACTTGTTTTTAGATGGACTACCTGTTTGCATCCATCTTTAAGATGGATGCTTTATATTTCTGAACTGCATATTGTAGAAATGTGGTCCAATCTGCATGAAACTATTTTCTTATAATGAAACCATTTACTTTTGATACAAGATGGTCACAATTAATCTTGACAATTGGATGTGAAATTGATATTATTTACTTTATCGATCAAGCTCAAAATCTAAAAAAAAAATTCTCGAACTTTAACGCACCCAACTATCAGATTTTACATCATATGGTTATAAGTAATTGTGATTTCTTTGTACCAAAAATAAATGATGTCATTACATACTATATCAATAATAAATACTAAAAAAAGAGATACGATGTCAACAATAAATACTGAAGAGAGAGAGAGAGAGAGGACCTTCATGAAAACGGCATCAGCTTGGGGAATAGCATGAAACATATCACCCCCAATATGAACCACTCCAGGGTAGTGGGGTGCAGTGGCCACAACATGAGGCAGGTCAAAGTTAATGCCAGAAATATGAGGGTTTGCCCTCACAATCTCCCCTATAGTCATCCCAGTCCCACCACCAACGTCCACCAAAGATCCCAACCCCTCAAACCCATTCTCATACCCACGCAGCAACGCTTCCAAAACGATCTGAGCATTGCAAGCCATGGCCTCATTAAACAACCTACTGTACTCCCGATTTTTGGCCCCATAACCCCATATTTCCACACCATGCGCCTTCTCAAAAGCCTCACCCCCCTCTAAAACACACCTACTTAAATAGTGCCAAGGCTTAAGAGAAACAACGCCCGTCTCCAACAGCAAAAACGGTGCGAGGCTCGGCCTGTGGACCTGTTTCGTGAGCCAACCAGAGGTACGTGTGGGTCCGTACCTGGTCTCGTCCTCGATCTCCTGCGAAGTAAAGACATGCTTTCGTACCAGGAACCGCATGATGCGGGAGAGGGTGGTGGTGTCCGGGGAGGTCGAGGGGAGAGACATGGCGATCTCAGGGAGACTCAGAGGGGTGTCGCTTTCTTGGAGAAGGTCGGGTATGCCGAGCTCGATCGCGCTCTTTACCGCGAGCGAGTCGGCAAAGGCAAGGGAGAGGCGCCATGCCTCTGCCTGGGCTTGGGCCTGTGCTTGAACTTCGTCCCCCATTTCCAATGGCAATAACAACTCTCTGTGTGGCTTTACTGCATCTATCGTGCGGTAGTATTTATATGCAGCTGCGCCAAGCATCTTTTACGTAAGCGTGACAAATTGGTTGTGTCATTGTGCATTCACTCTGCCTTTTACATCGCTTTCATCACCCAGTTTCTTACCAGACATTTGTTTCTAGAAATTTAAGGAGGCATTATTTTCATTTTTGTTTTTTTTATGGAAATTAAGGAGGCGCATTATTTCCAATCTTTGGTTTTTTTTCTTTTTTTGTAAAATTAAGAAGGCGCATTATTTCCACTTTTGTTTTTTTTGGAAAATTAAGCAGGCGCATTGTTATTTATCTGCCTTTATAATATGCCTATATTTTTAGCCAAAATTTTCTGGGGCGGTTTTATTATTTACTGTAATTGCCATCCTGTCTAACAATCTCAACACCGGATAAAAGGAGAGGACCGAGAACACTAAGGAAGAAAGAGAATAATTGTTTACTCCTGCAGGAGTATGCTATCTCTTTAGTCCCTCGGAAAAATGTATGCTAGGGATACTTTTTAGATTTAAAATTTTGGAAATATAATCCTTATAAGACTAAGAATAATCTGAGAAAAACATTTTTCCAAAATAATACCTCTACATATTAGAAAAATTAATGCTCTAAGATTGAATAGAGACCATTCAATTTTTTTAATGGCTAGGTCTAAGGGTCACAAAACTCAAAATTCAAAATTTTTTTTTAAAAATAATTATATTGTAACTGCTATATGGTTCCTAAAATTTTAAATCAAAAAAAAAAAAAAGATCATCGTAGTTAGCTATCTTGGCCGAGGGAGTAGATGAACAGTGTGCTCTCACAAGAGCACATTGTATGCACTCTCTAAAAAAAAATTTAAAACATGAGTTTTTCTCTCCTATCCGGCTTCTGTTGTTGGGGGACAGATGGGGGCGTGTAAGGAAATAAAAAAGGGCGCCAAAGGAGGCTGGTCGTTGTAATTTTGACCAAAAAAAGAAAAAATTGCCATTTAATAATAAAGGGGTGGGCATGGTGTGCACGTAATTTTCTTTTTCTTTTCTTGAATGACATATTTATGGTGAGATTAGGTCGTCCGATTACATCACATATTTTAATTATTCCCGCTTTTAATCTGATTTGGTAATGGGAAGGCCCCATTGTTGGTTATGCACCGCCAATTGCAGGCAATTGCTTGTGTTGATGAATTGAGTCCTTTGCATCGAAAATTATGTCGGAACCGTAAAAGATTCTACATTTTTTTTTTCTAAATTTAATGGGAAGGTCCCATTTTTTCCCTCACTTTTGGCCCCATGTTGCATACATCCATCCACTTTTTTATTGTTATTTTTTCTTATTTTCTTGGTGTTTGAGGATTAATTACCATCCGTCGAACTGCCCTAAATTTGGCTTGTTCAATATCCCAAATATTGAACAACCTTACTATAACTCTCTTTCTTCGATTTGGGATTGTCCGATATTTCAAGCATCGGACTGAATCTCTTTTTCCATTTTAAATGTGGTCGGATGATTGTAATATTGGACCGTTTTTTTTTTTTTGTTAAAATATTGGTCCAATATTTGAGATATTAGCAACGTTCTTTGCTTTATCCATCAAGAGAAATCTAATTAGGGCTTAACCCCATTTTCACCTCCAAATCCTCCCTCCCCCCCTCTTCACATTCTCTCTCTCTCTCTACCATCAAACTCGCTGTCCTTTAGTCCTCCCCAGCTCTAGCCCTAATTTAGCCAAGACTCCATATTAGCCAGGTATGTTTTCTTATTATTATTATTATTATTATTATTATTATTATTATTATTATTATTATTATTATTATTATTATTATTATTATTATTATTATTATTATTATTATTATTATTATTATTATTATTATTATTATTATTATTATTTTGTGCATTTTTTGTGTGGCTATTATTGATTGAGGAGAGAGTTGTCTAGTTTGTGCATTTTATGTGACAACCAAAAGCAATAATTTTGATCGTTATTCAATTCTGTTTATGAAAACAATATTTTTTGATTGAATAATTAGATTTGTAGAGGATAAAAACCAAGGTTTGAAAAAATATAAAAAGAAAAAAAAATAGTACAAAAAATAAAAGAAGCGAGACACAAATATTTGCATTGTTCGGCAAATTAACTACATCCAGGGTTAGCAAAATTATCTTCAACTAATTAACAAAAATACCACAAAAGCTTTGAGAATACAAAGGTTTACAAGCTCTCTCTCACAAGTCCTAAAACAAAGTCCTCTTTTCTATAGAACAACCACCCAATGACTATAGGAAAACTCATAATTCTTTCTCTATTTTTGCATTCTTTTTTCATATTTTCTCTCTATAAAATACATCTTTTATAAAATGGAAATCCGAAAGGCCATCCACGTGAGACCATGTGTATCCTTTTCTTATTTTGATATCTTTCCAAAATTATAGGATAGTTCTCACAAAATAGGGAAACGCATGAGTTCAAAAAACCCATGGTATATATCATCATACAAAATCAGAAACTTCCTAATACATATGAAACTTAGACTTCATGTATCCAACATTCTTGCACTCGAAGACATGTTTCCATTTTAACTAGCTTACTCCAAAAAAATGTTTCTCACTAGATAATAATTATCAAGTTACCACAAGCTCCATTGAAGTCATGTACCAAGTGAAACTCCATTTTGTAATATGCTTAGTCAACATGTCAGCTAGATTGTCATCATTACGTATTTTGAGCAATAAAATTCTTTCAACTTCTACCACATCACGAACAAAGTGATATTGAACATCAATGTGTTTAATCCTATCATAAAAGGCTAGTTTCATTGCTAAAAAAAGACATTCTTATTATCACAATAAACGAGTATCATTTCTTGTACAACTCAAAACTCATTAAGGAGCTTGTATTGACAAATTACTTCTTTAGGTGCAAGCGTAAGTGACATATACTCAGTCTCTGTAGAAGATAAAGCTACCACAGACTGCAACCATGATAACCATCTAACTGCTCTACCTCCCAAAACAAAGCATCGTAGATGTTCTTTTATCCAAGCCACCTACAAAACTTGCATCAACATAACAAACGACTTTCAAATCCATCCCACTATAACAGATACCAACATTACAAGTTCCACTCAAATATGGAAGGATCCACTTCACAATGGTCCAGTGATCATGTCCAGAATTTTCTATATATCTGCTTACAACAGGCTATAACATTGATAACCATTTAACTACTCCACCTCCTAAAAAAAAACCTTCGTAAACCTTATTTTATTCAAGTGACCTGCAAAACTTGCATCAACATAACCAAGACTTTCAAATCCATCCCACTATAACAGATACCAGCATTACAAGTTCCTCTCAAATATGGAAGGATCTACTTCACAACAGTCCAGTGATCACATCCATAATTTATCATATATCTACTCACAACTCACATTGCATATGTTATGTCAGATTTGGTGTTAACTATTGCAAAAAGGTATATTCTCTGCTTCAGTGCTAGGACATTGATTTGAAGACAATTTTCATATGCACAGGAAATGAGATACTAACTTGTTTGCATTCTACATATTGAAGTGTTGCACAATCCTCTTCATATAACTCTTCTAAGTTAACTTGAACTTTTTGTTTTTCCAGTCTCTAAAATATACTCATCCCAAGAATTTGATTATTAGCTCCAAAATTTGTTATCTCAAATTCCTTAGCAAATAAAGTTTTAAGTGTTGCAATATTCTCCTTATTTGGTCATGTAATAATCATGTCAACGGCATACGATAACAAGATAATAAAGCTTTCATTGCCATATCCATGAAAATAAGCATAATGGTTAGCTTCACATCTATGAAAATTCTAGTTCAATATGAAAATGTTAATTTGTTTGTACCAAGGTTTCAAAATTTGTAGATCCATATTAGAATCGCACCATCCGAACGAAAATTTTTAGAGCCAATTTGGTTTCCTTCATATATTGGAAACCAGCTGTTTCACTGATTGAACTGACTGAACTATCAGGAACCGGCCGATTATGTCATAACCAAACTGACCGGTTCTATTTAGAAACGACGGATCGTAGAGAAAATTCTATTCTATTTGCAACTTTTGAGTTTTTTTTTTATTGAAAGATGGCTTTTTACATGTGTCATTTTTATAAGTATTTACCATGCCCAACCAGCCCATGCGTAAGCATGCCACAACGCTGATACTATACACATAAGCCATGAGCCTTTTACATCGGCTTTCTTTAAATCCTTGATCTGGGATAATTTCCACTCACCGTTTATACTACCTGATGAAAAACTCAAGGGAAAATAAATATAAATGAAAATCCCTGATCGATGATGATTTCCAGTCGCTTCTTACGCTATTAGATAAATGACTTAAGGGCAAACTAAAATAGTGCATTAAAAAATAAAAAAATAATTCTAGTGAGAAGGCACATTTAGGCCATATTCCTACTTCAATTGCCATTTTTGTATAATTAAAACATGATATTTCATTGTTAGGGTCATAGTTTTTTCTCCCTATCAAATAAAAAGATGTAAAACTATCATATGATTTTATTTTATTTTTTTACTGTAAAAATTAGAGCTAGTGATATCCATTTTATTACAATGAATTGCATTTAAAATTTTGTCCATAAAATGAATTTAATGGATAATAAACACTCAGACATGAGACAAATTCTCAATATTTATGTATTTTTAGTAAAATATTGAAAAAATTCTAATGTAATATCGTTATTTTTTTAGAAACGTAAAAAAGAAAAATTTAATGCCAGATCTTGCCGATTGAACTGATCTCTAATTTGGATCGCCAATGGACTGATCTGACATGGTTTTTTAGGTGTCCGACTCGGGTCACAAATTCATTTTTTTAAAACCTTGGTTTGTACTAACACCAAAGCACCTGTTTCAACCCATATTACAATTTCTTGAGCCTACTAATCAAATTTTCTTTTTCTTCCTCAATAAAACGGTCACGTTGGTTCATAAAAA